GCTAGATGAATTTCCAATCTACTAGGATAAGCTCTATCCCATCTCTGATGACAATATTTACAAGTTGCTTCGTAATGACCTTTGGTTTTTTCATTTCCTTTTGTAAATGGGTCCAAACTTCCGAGAATGATCTATTTCCAGCATGTTTTCTTTTGTTATTTGACAATTCTGGTGTAATTGATGAAATTTCATATATACACTCCCTGGACAAAAGTTTCGGTCACCACAAAACAATTAATTACGCAAAAACATACATAATAAAACACAAATAAATTTCATCAAATCGTGACTAAAGTTCTCAAAAATATGTCTGCAAAATTTCAAGTTTTTGTAATGTTTGGGAGAATGACAGTTAAGAAAATAAAAAGTTCGACCAAAAATCTTCTGAAAAATCGTAGTTTGCCAAAAAAACAGCTTCTCAGAAACTTACATAATAACCACACCTGAAATCGTGACATATGAAAGATGAAAGATTAGATTCTAAAAAATTACGTCATATGTTTTTTATACAAGTTTTTTTGTAAAAATGTTTTGAAATTTTTGAAAATTAAAAAATGTCAAAGCAAAAATCGTCAAAAATTGGATTGAAACAAAAAAATAAAAATTTTGAAAAATTGGCCAAGTCAATCTCCTGATTTGAATCCAATAGAGCATCTGTAGAATCAATTAGAAATTCGTATTCGGAAACGTCCAAATAAATTTAAAAATAATGTTGAACTTAAGGCCACTTTACATGAAGAATGGAATCAAATTTCTAGAAATATTTATATGAATTTGATAGAAAGTATGCCGAGAAGAATAGAAGCTGTTATATCCAATAATGGCGGCCAATAAAGTGTTGACTTGCATACAAATAAGTAAAATTTCAGGTGTGATTATTATGTGCGTTTTTTTTTTTTTTTGAGAAGTGGTATAAATGCAAATAAAATCAAAATTTTAGAGATCATTTCCAAAAAATTATTTTTGGTCGAACTTTTTATTTTTTTGTTATTCTCCCAAACATTACAAAAATTTGAAATTTTGCGTACATATTCTTGAGGACTTTAGTCACAATTTGATGAAATTTATTTGTGTTTTATTATGTACGTTTTTGCGTAATTAATTGTTTTGTGGTGACCGAAACTTTTGTCCAGGGAGTGTATCATCATTTTCATGTCGAAAATAATTATCTAAAGTATTTGATGTTTCTTGGTCGGATACCATTATTTTAAAGTAATAAATTTTTACTATCCCATACACAAGTGATATATCACATGGTAATAAATACAAAAAAAAATTTAATTATTTTCGTGGAAAGGTTATTTAATATGCGGGTTTAATTATTCAAATTAAATCATTATTAAATTGTTAGTGTTAATATATGCTTTATGAATCCTTAGTTACACAAATTGCTTGCACATTTTATAGTTTCGGCACATAGATTTAGAGATTTAGTTTCGGCACAAATAATTATGCCTAAAGTTTCGGCATTTTGCTTGCTTGAAAACCGAAACTAAATTTTTTAATTTGCTGAAACTATTGCCGAAATTTAGTAGTTTAGGCAAACTTCTATAGATGGAATTGTAGCTTCAAAGATAATTGAGATATTCCCAAATTGATTTGATGTGAATTTTTTTAAATAATTCCATGACACAATAAAGTTTGCAAAATTTCTAATTGAACAAAGAAATTGGTTACTGATCATGAATAAGCTGCGTATCACAGATCAGATGGTTATTTTTATTTCTATAAAAACACTCGAACACTGCACCAAGTGCAAATAGCGATAATATCATAAAAACACATGACTTAACCATTAAAATAAAATGAATGTTTTATTAAATTATTATTATTATAAGAAATAGCCATTACAATGCACGTATTAAATAATGCTAAATGCATAAAAAACGCCACATGCAATTATAACAATCACCATCATCATCAATTTTGATCATTGCGATCATTGATATAATAAAAAATAGCTGATTATAAATAAATAAATAATTGTATAAATTACCAGAAATAACAGGATTGTGAAGTAAAGAAGGGCGAAGAAGAAGTGATTATTGGTAGTGGCCAAAACTTATTGACTGCCAACTCGTATTTAAATTTATTCTATTATATTAAAATATTAAAAATAAGGTAATAGTTATTAGTTGTGATTTGATATATAATTGATTATATTAAATCATTTATTCTCCGATCAGATTAATGTATATGTTTATGCTCACTGTTTACTTTCAAATGCATACGATTTCAAACAACTCTACATCCGAATACACAGGTTTCAACTTTCAAAGTTTACTAGCGAGTACATAGGATTTCAATTTTCAAAAAAGCTTACTAGCAAACGCATAAGATTTCGAACAATATTACTTTGCAAAATACACAGGATTTCACCTTCGAAGCTTACTCGCCAAATGCATAGGATTTCAACTTTCAAAAAAGCTTACTAGCAAACGCATAGGATTTCAACTTTCAAAAGTTACTAACACAAATGTACAAGAGTTCACATTGTCCTACTTCCGAACGCATAAGTTTTCAACTTTCATAAAGAAAATTTACTACCGAACGCATCGGGTTTCAACTTTTAAAAAGTCTACTTACTAATGTATAGGATTTCAAATTGTCTTACTTACTACCGAATTGCACAAGATTTTAACCTTACAATTATTCATTTATCATCATCTCTCTATTGTTGTTATGAAAATAAAATAATATTTGTTCACTCACGTAATTCCATTGTTTTCAACTTTCAAAAGTTACTAACACATGTACAAGAGTTCACATTGTCCTACTTCCGAACGCATAAGTTTTCAACTTTCATAAAGAAAATTTACTACCGAACGCATCGGGTTTCAACTTTTAAAAAGTCTACTTACTAATGTATAGGATTTCAAATTGTCTTACTTACTACCGAATTGCACAAGATTTTAACCTTACAATTATTCATTTATCATCATCTCTCTATTGTTGTTATGAAAATAAAATAATATTTGTTCACTCACGTAATTCCATTGTACTAGCAACTCGACAAGTTCCTTCTTTTCTGCGTGTGTTTGAAAAGGAAATAGTCTTGACCAGGTTATCTACGTATTTTTGACTAAAAATAATTTATCAATTAAATAACATCTCGATCACATGAAATCTTGTAATGAGATCAATCGTAATTTAATATAAAAAATGGTATAAGGCAATTAAATTATAGATCTGTATCGTAGTACCAGATCGATCGTAATTTAATATAAAAAAATGGTATAGGCAATTAAATTATAGATCTGTATCGTAGTACCAGATTAAACATTTGATAGTGTAACCGCTGTATATTTTAATTAATTAATAAGAGGGTTAGAGGAAAATTCAACTTTATTAGTTTTTGGGGTGGTGTATATTTATTGTATATAGTAATATAATAATTAAAAAATTTTAAATTATCTGATAATATCTAATGTTGACACTAATAACAATAATGTATACTAAATCTAAAAAGGACTAAAATTTCAACGGTTGGAAAATTGGGAATAATTTTTTGCATTTGAAGGTCCTGAGATTTGAATTTACATATCCAGTTATAGAATCGTCGTCGTCGTTATCTAGTCGTCGTCATCATTGTCGTCGTCATCAGCATCATCATCAAACAATAAAAAAAAGAAAAAAAATGTCAACAAGGATCGAGCAGCACTGAAAAAAACTTGAGGACCATTTGTTGAATCAAGTGGGGTTTTCAATAAAATAAAAGATCCTTTGCATCAACAGGAAATGAAAGAAAGAGTGTTAAGAGAGGAAAATCTTTTGAAAAAGTTGTTGAAGAAATTGTCCGAAATAAGCAAAACATGGTGATGAAGTAGGAATTTAACAAGAGATGAGAGGGATATATTTTTATTTTTGCATTTTGGTACACATACACAAATTATCTTAATCAATTCCTTTTAGATCAATTGCACATTTACAATAATAATATATTTGTATAGATAACAAGTGA